TCCAGAAAATAGTGGTGGTTTATTACTACTTCCACCGTCTTTGAAAACCGGGTTAGTGCTAGCGGAAGCCATACTGAATCTTTAGGAACAGGTTACCTTAACCTGCTCTGATGCCAATTGTAAGTTCAGAGTATGCCTAAGAGGGGGGATGAATTAGGCTTTAGAAACCTTTTCCGGTTTTTCGATATTCTTGAATTTTTCTTCTTTAAGTTTTTGGTGATGAAAGCAGTAAAAGCAGAAAGAAAAATGAACACGGAGATTTATAGTGGCTCCCTTCACAATCTGAAGGTACTCCACTCCCCTTTCCACATGAAAGAGAGTTTTCACTATAGTTTTAGAAAGTACAACCTATCATACCATCAACCGGTGAGGCCTATAATCTAACAACTAATCAACAACTAGTGTGCAAGAACAATCCTCTTGCAAACACTAACCCTTGTGTCCAACAATCCTGGATCACAAGTCACAAATAGAAATAACTTTGTATTTTGTAATTTGAAAGTGATACAATGATAATATCAATCTAATGATTGATCTTCTCCTTTTGATCAAAATCCACTCTTCAATATCAACACAAGTGTTCAAAAACTGGATATGAAATTGTATGAACAATATGAACACTTTTTGAAAATATTTGAAAATATTTGAAAAGTAGTGAATTTGATTCAATGAATATTTTGAAAATTATTGGAGGTGTTTTTCAATTTGAAATTTTCAGAATTTATATGAACAAAACACCATTTCAAAAAGGTATAATTGAGTATGATTCAAAACATGAAAAGGTATAATATTCAAACAACATTTGAATTTTAACAGCAACAATTTTTCAAAATTCGTTCAGTGTTAATCGGTTAACCCTATAGGTTAATCGGTTAACACTTGAGCGTTGGCCCACAAAATTTAAAAATTAAGGTCGTTAACCGATTAACCCATATGGTTAATCGATTAACACTGTTAAAACTCAGAAAAATACTAAGTTAAAAAGTGTTATACCAATTCAACTGATTTTAAACTCATGCAAATGCAATATGTAATCATGTTAAAATATTTGAACACTTGTATATCAATTAAAGGAGTGAAAATTGATATACCGAGACTTGAGTCCAAATCTTGAAAGATGGATGATCATTTGCACATGATTCTTGAATTGCTTGACAATATTCCATAGATGATATGCTTTTGGTTTTATCTTCAGTGTATATACCCCCACGGGTATATAGTGCAAACAACTTCTCAGTGCATATACCCCCACGGGTATATAGTGTAAGAATCTTGATCAATTTTCAAAGCTTTGACTTTTTGCTTGTAATCATGGAATGAGCTTGAGTCTTTGTTGATATCATCAAAACCTTGAGATTTGAAATGTGCTTCTACAGAAAAGAGTTTGGTAAAGAATATGGGAAAGAGTCAAGCTCAAAGAAGGTTAAAAAATTGAAGAAGCTTCTGCAAATTGAAAGGAAGAAGACTTTTTTTGTTAATGGTTGCCCTTATTGTATCATGGATGTTGTTAGCTATTATGTTCAAAATGAATTAGTTGGCAATGTAATGTTTAACTTTGTTTATTTTTGTTGGTCTGCTGTTAATTTCAGTGTAATGTTGTAATGTTCAAGTTTGTATCATGTATTTTATTATCTATTATGTTTAAAATGAATCTTAATTGTCAATGTAATGTTCAATTTTGTTTTGATGTAATGTTGTTTGTCAGTTGTTAGTTTAATGAATGAATGAATGGTATTGAAATGCTAACAAACATATTATGTTCTGTTTATAAGCTACTGAGAAATGAAATATAGTCATTGTAATGCTATCAAACATATTATAACATTAAGTCTTAAAAAGATCATTACATGAGCATTAAGCAATTGTCTAAGCAATCATTATAACAAAATTAAGAAACTAAAAGTTGCAATTGTCTTAGTAGTCAAAAGGATTTAAAAAGCGTTGTTGCAAATATTACAAAACCATCAAGCATTACATAAGCCTAATCAACTGTCTTGCCAATGTCATCCCAAGACCTTATTGCCCCGAAGCATGTCCCTAGCTTAGGGTATACTACCACCACAACAATTTCCTGGGTCAAAGTACACCCTTCATTTTCTGGTATGATCATTTGTTCATCATTGCTTGCACCTGGGCATTTAATGGACTTGGTTTTCAATTTCTTCAACCCGTCACTTGATTTTCTTAAACCTTCATATTTCCCATTCTTTGATGATTTTGGAGTTTTCTTGATAGGAATGGATTTTCTTTTCTCAGTTTGTGCCACACCAATTGATTTAGTTTGTGCCACACTAGTAGGTTCAGTTGGTTTCGTTAGTTGTCCATCATTAGCTTCAGTTGCTTGTGCTATACTTAGTATAGGATCCTTTCTCTACAAAATTCAAATCAAGACAATTACTAAATGAATCATTATACTACAATCAAATCAAGATAGTTACCAAATGATCAATTACCTTTCTTTTCAAAGCTTCTGGATTCTGAGTTGTTGCCTTGCATTTTCTAGAGTTATGGTCATTTTTATCACATTTATTACACCTATAGGTCACTTCAACTCTCCTCATCTTTGTACCACCCTCGCCTAATTCCCTAAATCTAAGTTTCTTTGGTCTACCAGGCCTTTTCTTGTACAAATGAGGGAGAAATTCATCCACATCAACTCTAGGACACATATCCATCCCATTTATTGGGCTTATAGGAAAACTATAACAAAGTGCATAGTTCCCCCCTAGAGTAGCAATCATCCACAAAGTCCTCAGACTTTAGTTTCTTATAACTTATTGCTGCACAAGCATGTCTACAGGGAATGCATACCAAATCCCAAAACATATAGGAATATGTTCTTTTGCTTATATCAACAACAAATTGTTGAGTGTTGTATGCATGTTTTACCTTCCATACATCATTCATAGACCAACATGGAATCCATTGCCCACTCATATAAACCTCTTTATTTAACCTCTTCCTTGGAATAAGCATTATCATATGTTCCCATCTTTCTAGCTCAAATGCAGTTGCTAACATCCTATTCATTGGGTAATTTATAATCCATTCACACATCGTTAGAATAGGTTTATCCCTAGCACTCAGTATTGTTGCATTAAAAGATTCAGAAATGTTATTCGTCAATACATCGCATTTAGGGTAAATGTTAAAAGCATGTTGACACTGTGTTTCTATCATAACATTCATCAACCATTCATTAGCCTTTGAATCAACTTTCTTTAGCTCAACCATTTTGTCACGCCATCCTTGACAATAGATTGCCTTGGTTGCTCTTATCATGAGATCTCTAATCAAAGTGCCTCCACCAAATTTCTTCTTGAAATTAGGCACAATTTGTGTTCTATTCTTTCAAACACACTTACCAAACCCTGTAAACAGAACAAAAACTCAGACTTGTTATAACACATACATTGTAGCATACCTATATGACAAAACACATAAAGTGTCACATAACTTTTGTTGGTCTGAGATGAAGACATAACTTCTATCTTGGTTAATATCTTCCATTAACAATTGTAAAAACAATCTCCAGCTCTCTTTTGTTTCAGTTTCAACCACTCCAAATGCCAATGAAAAATATTGGTCATTTGGATCCTCGCCTACAACTACCAACAACTGACCACTCAAATATAGCATCCCTGGAATCCCTTAAGGAATTAAATTCCATTCCAAGCTTAAACTCGTAGTCCTTCGCTAGTTGCTCCTTCATAAACTTTTCATGCTTTAGAAGTTTTTCATCTTCAAATGCATCTGGATCTGAACTACCCAACTCATCACTCAAATATTGATCTTCTTCCTGATCCATTCTTTCACCATCCCTTCTTTCCTTATCCCTTGTTTTAAATTCTTTGTGGTTTAATTTCTTTTACTATCCTTGTAGGTGCAACAACAACAACCTTACCCTTCGTTGCAGGAGATTTCTTTATGGGTGGCTTAGAGGCACACATCTTAAACCTGTATGAATTCTCATTGACTTCATATCTAGTTGTGGCAACTTTGGGCTTGCCCATTTCAAATACTTCAAAACCATCATCCATTGTTGTCATTCTTTCATCACCTGTATCATCAAACCTAACCCTTATTGTTTCATCATCACTTTCTTCATTACTTGATTCAGTTCTTTTATTCATTTCAATACATTAAGCCTCAACAACCTTGACTTGGGTGTCCTTCACATTATGCTCGACGTATAAATGACCTTCTGTGTTCTCACGAACAACAAAACTAGCAACATCCAAAGCACAATCATCCTTGTTAACTTCAAAATAACGTTCATTTATACCTTTAATTTTGCTCCAAACCCTAAACTCATTTCTTTTGTATCCCAAATCAAGTACCAGTTTCAACACGTCAGAAACACCCCATTTTTTATTATCTATATCAATTAAGTATGTCGTATTGTTTACTATTCTATCTTATTTAATTTAGGTATTCTTATTTGAATTTTATTTTAATTATTATGTTTTATTAATTTAATTTTGGATTGAACTAGTTTAACTTATTTTATTTTAATTCTTTAATTTGTGCAAATTATTCTTAAATGAATGTTGAAATTAAGTATACAACTATGATGTATTATTATATATATTATTGATATTGTTTTATTGAGTTTGTAATAGAGTTTTTAAATATTTACTTTATTAAGTTGTAAATATATAATTGTGTGTGATATATCTATGAAATTTAATTTTATATTATTAATTTATTTAATAAACAATTCAATTGTAAACTTAATCGCTTGAATCAATTAAACTTTAATTTTGAATGTTTCACTTGTCCAATCTCGGGTTAAATTTTTAAAACATTTGTAGAAATCTTTGTTTTTTAGAAACTTTTTAATAGTTATAGATATTTTTTTTCCTACGAATTTTATTAGGAAACAAACAAATGAAATAGCTCATAATCTAACTAAGACTGTCACAAAGATAAACGAGAGGCCAAGAAACATACTCTCAAACACAAAGATAAACCTCTCTCACATTCTTCTCTTTTCAACTATGGCAGTTTCAAAGTTCACTTCTTCTCCTTATTCTCATTTCTTCAATCTCTCATCTTTTTCCAAACTCACTTCACCATCTTCATCTTCACTTCTTTTTCATAGCCATCACCATGTTCATCACCCATCTAAACGAAACTCAAAAGCTACAAACTTCACCATCAAAGCTTACATGGAGAATCCAAACTCCTTTTCAAGTATAGTAAACAAAGTCATTGGTGCTCTTCCTGTTGTTGGTCTCTTAGCTAGAATCATGAGTGATGAAGGTGGCGTTGGTAATGATCTTGTTGATTTTGCTGAGTTTAGAAGAAGGGTTGGTAATAATTGTACTCCCAGTGATTCAACTTCTTTTTATCAGTTCCAATCTCGAAGAGGAAAGGTGATTCATCGTTTTTGCTCATACCCCTTTATTAAATTTTTCATTTTTTTACTGTTTATTATAGTTGAAATTTGTGCACCCCAAGTGTTTGAAAATTTAACTATTGTTGTTTACTTCTTTTTATTATTGAAATAGTTTTTTGTGGTATTAGATTCTTGTTTTCATGTTCATGAGCTAAAATGGAAATGGATGAGTATGAATGTGTGTCTAACTTGGTGTTAGTTTGTTATTTGTAGACAGGGGATCCTATGTATGTTCTGTTATGTTGTTGGCTTGCAGCTGTCGGTGCAGGTCTACTTAAAACTGAGGAGATTTTGGAAGGAGTCGCGAGGCTTCGAATCTCAGACGATATTGAATTTGAAGAGCAGACTTTCATTGCCTTGATGGAGGAAGCAAGAGAGGTTGGTTTTTCCATCTCTGAAAAACTATATCAGTAAAGATAGCATGTTTGTGCATATTCTTAGTTGGTTTTACTTTTACACACATTCAAAATCTTAGTTTTATAAGAATCACAATTTTGTTGATTTTGTTCAAACACATATGCTTCGGTGTAAACTGAGTATCTCTATACACAACTTTAGAGACTATTCCTTTGAGTTGGTTAGTCCATAACGAGCAGCAAAGTTCTTCTTCAAAAGTTTTAACGTCGTTGCAATCTTAGGTCTGAATTCAAATATAAGTCTGTAGAAAATGATTGGGGTAAAGATTGGTATGCTCCTTGCTAAACATCCTCATAATGAATTCTCCCACATAAAGTTTCATCCACTATGTAATCATCTGAATAGATTGAGAAGAGAAAAGGCAATTCCAAGATGCGTGACAGATATTTGTGTACTTTTGGCCTGTTTGGATCAACATATTTGATTTTATCCACGGATATAAACACTTGTGAAACTGTTTGAAAAATAAGCTTATGACATGTTCAGTCTGTTTTCACATTAGGTCCATAAGCTACTCATATTAACTTATGAAAACAACTTATATGAAAATAGCTCGACTTGACTTTGTGTTATATTTTGTTATAGAAACAGTTTAAACATAAACAAACACTTATATGATAGGCCTTTATGCAATAAGTACTTGATTAAACTGTTTATCTATATGCTTCTGTCCTAACAACTGGAAAATTTATGCTGTACACTATAGAGAAGAGCGAAGCTAAAGGGGGCATCTCCTGCTGTACCAATGGAGGTTCGAGTTGAGAAGGCGCTTGATGCTATCTATGTATGTTGCTTTGGAAAGGATCCTATAGAGATTGAAGATGAAAGATTACTAAGTACAATACTTAGTTCTGTTTTTCCTTCAGTTCCAAAACAAGAGATTCAACGCATGGTTACAGAAATGGCACAGAAAGTAAAAGATGGAGGCATGGATTATATTCCAGATGCCAAACCTCTATCAAAAGAAGCTATTGAAATGCAAATGAAAGACCTTAACTTCCTTAAACAAAATAGTGACACTATGTGAAGCATGGGATGTTTTTGACATAAATGCATTGAATGTAATTATATTTCCAAGATCAAAGTGTTTGAGCCTTTTCGCTTCTCATAGGGGGAGAATATGACAGTGATGCTAGATTTTGTTCACTTGCTACAGATATTATACCTATTTTGGTGGGAATGTAGGAACATGAGTGTGTAAAACAAAGCATGAAAATAGTATCTCAAATGTAATTTATTTGACAGGACAATCAAGTGATCCAGGTTTTCCTACACTACTTTGTTTGTCTCTGACAAGTGAATAGTATGAAATCGACACCACTTCATTTCTTTCCGTCCGATTTTAACTAGTACAAACTATGAAATTTAATTCTATTTCATCTCATACCATTCGATATAGTTTTTGAAAAATATGACATTTTGTGAAATGGATAACCTTAATAAATATTTTTAAAATTCTACTACCAAGAGTAACTCAATTCATGACTCAAACACATATACACTAAATACTACTTTGTTGAAAAATATTTTATTTCTATATTTAATTGTTTACGTTTATTGTCATTTATTTTCTTTTATTCTCCATTAAAGGGAAAATAAAATATATTTAGTGTATTCTCATTATATAAACTAGCCTTGGCTGAGGAATAAAATTACAATAGCTTTTATCTATTTCTTCTAATATGGTATCGAGAGCTCTGGGTTAGGATTACCGTAAAGCTTTCGACCCGCTTTTTTACCCTATCTGATTCACATACCCATTTAATTTCTTATGGCTAATAACAACGGCGGTGGCCACGGAAACAGCGGCGGCAACAGAAATGACGGTGGTCACAGAGATGGTGAACGAGAGGAACCGTCAGTGGTCACAAACAGTAGTAATTGAAATTCTAGTAACAGACAGTTGTTGTTATAACGGATGTTATGACATCCACTACTGAGCAGACTATAGAACTTAACAATAAACTGGAAATGAAAGCAGTAAATAACACAGGGAATTGTTGACCCAGTTCGGTGCAAATCATACCTACTCTAGGCTACCAAGCTAGGGAAAAAATCCATTATAAGCAGTGTTAATTCAGAGGCAAACAACCTGTTTGCACTCTTAACTTAAGACATATCCAATGTAACTTCAACCTAAAACTAGACTTGAGTTCCTACTCACTCCCCCTTAATCACAATAGTGATATCAACCAATTAAGTTACAGATTAAAATGAAGACACACTTCAAACAAATCTTGATCTTGCTTCACAGCTTCAATCAAGAGACACATCACTCGTGCTTAAAAGCTTAGAGTGACACAATAAACAGTATACTACAAACACACTAGTCCAATGCAATCATACAACAGATAATTGCTTGGCTCATAAGGAATCCTAAGACACAAAACACACGTGAAGAAAAAACTGCACAAACAAAATTCTTCACTCACAAAAACACTCAGTACTCAATCAGGATTGCTACTTCGTTATCTATATGCAGCGTATGTTCTTTGGGCCTCAGTGCAGAAATTAGGTTTACCCAAGTTAAACCACTTTCCATAAATCAGGGTTCCTTCAATTAGGTCATAAGCATTTCATGGTATCCTCAGCACTGCCTGAAATTTCACCTGAGATAACTAAGCGTCCTAAAATGTTTCCTGAAATCTAGCCTGAGCTAACTCATGCATTATACCAGAAAACCAACATGCGCCCTTGTTGGCCGTTACCTGATGCCATGACATCCAACATGACATCTAATACACTCTACTCTAGTTAACCAAACTTACTCTGCAGTACACTACTCACGAATGTCATGACATCAGTCAAGACATCTACACACAACATTGTTTTACCATAAATTGCAACCAATCAAAAACATCTACAAACTCCCCATTTGGCAAATTTTTGGTTAAAACAATCTGTCATCATATCAGAGATCACAAGCAGCAGAAAAGTTCACAACACATATCTAATCATGTAGGATAACAACTAGCTAATACTACCAATCAACACACACATGTTGTAGTACCATATCAGAGTCATCTACACACACTAACAATATCAGCTTCCTGTTAATAACTAGCCAATCAGAACCAACTTATTCACACATAACCATACAAAATATTCTGGATTCTAAATGCCAAGACATCCAGGATAACATCTTGAAACACACATGTTCCACAGTACCAAAATACCACCTGCTAGTCCAGACTACAGATGTCACAACTTTTTGTGGAACATCCTGTGATACACCCCCTCAACTGATGCACAACCAAACACAATCTGCAAGCAACCTGCAGAAATACACACTACCACCAACAACTAGGATACAACTATGTTCCAACCAGGAACACGCACACACACCCAACGACAATAGCCAAACACACACAAGATCATCATCCTGCTCACAACAACATAACAACTTCAGCACATCAGCACACCTGTAACACAATTCAGAGCAGCAACACATCATCAGCACACCTACAAACCTGCTCATTGCAAACATGCACAGCAACATAACTCATCTTCCACCTGTGAGTGACATATCTAAACACAACTAAGCCTGCTCACACCAACTACTTCTCCCCCTTTTTAGACACAAAATTAGATCATAACTAAAGAGTTAGTATTGATCAAACAAGGTTGGAAACACAAAAGTTAAAGAAACATTACAACACAGCAACACATAAAAGCTGTTCACAAAAAAAATGTTCTGGACCAAACAAACTAAGAACTCTAGTCATCAGACTCAGAGCTAGCAGCAACACTCTCCCTTTCTTCATCAGTGTCTTCCTCAAAACTGGTAGCAACTTCCTCTGATTCAACTTCCTAGTCATCATCCTCCCCAAATCCATCATCATTCTTATCCTCATCATTTTTAGTAAACTCAGTATCTTCATCCTTCTCAAAAGACCTGATCAATTTTTCCAGATTTAGTTTTCTTGTCTCCAACTCCTTGCATGTCTCCTTAAGCATGGCAATAACTTTAGCTTTCCCTGTCTTTGAACTCCCCTTGGATGTCTCTGCAAATGTCATGACAATGTCAGGAACATGAGTTCCTTGAAACAGCTTGTGGTGAAAAGACAAGGGACTTTCCCTCTTGCATGCAGAGTCATTCTCTTTTAGGATATTGGGATACTGATTCAATATGATCCCACGGATAAGTGAAGGAAATGCAATGGGGCCTTTTACACTATAATTCCTTGCATGTTTCATGGTTTGATCAAAGATGTAGGTCCCATAATCAAACTTTGTTTTGGTCCCAACAACATAAATGAACTTCCCTAGGATAGTAGCAACCGTTGATTTATGATTTGTGGGCACCCAGTTGGCAGCTCCAATCTTGTGCAGCATAGCATACTTCACATTGAGTTTACTGGCAACCAGTTTCCCTTTTGAGGGCCATCTTTTGACCTGGTTGGCAGTTATAACTTGACATGCTTTGTTGTCATAAGCAGCTAGATCAGTTTGAGCTTCATCTGATCTTCCTAGATAGTTATTGATGACAATTGAGGAGAAAGTGACACACTTTCCTCTTACATACACTTTTCCAAACTCATTTGATTTTCTATCAACACAGTCTTCTGATAGGTTCACTATGAACTCCTTCACAAGTATTTCATAGCACTTAGAAAACTGAGTGACTGTCCTCATTAAACCAACAACATGAATAAGATTCATGATCTCCTTACATTCAAGGGCATTCTGAGCCAACTCTCTTTCCAATTCCAACCCCTTCTGATACACATATTTTCACCTGTTGACACTAGAGGGATAATGAAACGAAATATTGTCAATAGGAACTTCAGGAACACTAGCAGCAAGTTTGCTAGTTGTTGGCTTCTTCCTAGGTGGGATGTTAGTGACATCATAAGCAACATCCAAGTCTGAGTCAGATTCAGTACTTATTTGAGCCTTTCTCTTCTTTGGAACCACCTTGCTCCAAGCTTTTGTAGGGCCAACATGAATACTCTTTGCTATAGCTTTCTTCTTGGTAGGACTCTGCATAGCTGCCTTCTTCCCTTTCCTAGTCATGAGCCTTTTAGCTATGTTAGGGTTGATCGTGGCTATCAGATCATTATCTGAATAATCATCAAGGTTCACTACATCCGCATTATCCTTCTAGACATCATCATCATCATCATCATCATTGTTATCACCTTGCACATTATCATCATCACTCTCAAAAGTTTGACCCTTATCATCATTCTTTCGTGAGGTCGTACCCAGGGTTTTAACATCTTGAGTAACATCAGTTTGTTGATCCAGGTGGGGAGCAGGAACCTCAGTGTTAAAGGGAATGGATATCCCTGACACATCATGTGGCTCATTCAATATCCTAGATACCAAATTTGCAATAGTGTTGTGGACATGCCTAGAGCCTTCTCTATTGGTATCCTCATGAGGGATGGAGGTTGAAGTGTGAGGAGCCTGAACTGTGACTAGTTTTTTAGGCCTTCTTGCATGCGAAGTACGAGGCTTCTTTACGCCCAGACCTTATGGGGTTACCATATGAAGTGGTGCTACTTCAAGAACCTGGTTAGGGTTGCTAGAGTCAGTTTTAACACCAGAATCTAGATCAGCGATGGTGGTCATCTTCTTGGAAGAGATAGACTTTGATCGTTGAGACATTTTAGGAGACTTTGGCAGTGTGAGAGAAGGTTTTCTGTGGTTGTTGAAGGAGGTATGGAAGATAAAGAAGTGGTATGGGCACCAAATGAAGCAAACGTATCGTGTGTAAGGGGTAGAGTAATATGATTGCAAAAGAATATGGAACTTAAAATTTTGACCAATTAGCAAATGATTACGATTTAGACTATTCAAAATACAATTCCCAAATACCATTAATTGCTAACTCCTTATAGAGACACATTCCCAATTTACTTCTTAAATTTTCAATTTGAGTAGTCTCGGGATCTCTTGTAAAAATGTCAGCACTTTATAGGTCAGAGTCCCCAAGATCCACACGATCTTTTCCCAAGTGATGTCTGTTATCACTACACATGGTTCTGTTATGCTGAATTGGGTTCATATTGATGGCACTAG